TCTTAGTTTTAATTCCTGTCTCAATTTGTTGTCAGTGGGTAAAGGAGCTGTTTTAAATAAGTATACAATTAGTTGAGAATCACTGCGTTTGAAGGGAATGCTGAGAGGTGACCCCAGTTAATGTTGAATCTATTGTTTCTATTCAAGTTATCAAATAAAGCGCATTTTTACACATTTGGTTTTTACTTTGCTTATCTTGTGTTATTCACTCTTTATAATATTGGTGGCTGCTTTTCCTATGGCCCATTGTATTCCTCTTAATGTTCAGGTATGCTAATGTAGTTTATGAGCAAAAGCGGCAATAGTAGTAGTAGGTGACTGATTAGCAGGTGCTGAAACAGTCATATTTATGTATTTTCTTTTCTCTCTCTCCTGTAGTTTTGATGTGGACAATGGCCTGTCGGTGGGTCGCAGTCCACTGGACTCTCAGACTAGCCCGAGTTCTGGTCTGGTTCTTCAAGCCAACTTCCCTCACAGTCAGCGCCGTGAGTCCTTCCTCTACCGCTCCGACTCAGACTTCGACCTTTCGCCCAAAAACATGTCCCGCAACTCGTCCACTGCCAGCGACCTGTGAGTATTTTAAATGTTACCCTCATGTTGCACCTTGCAGTTTTGGGTTGCTGATTTAGAAGTTATTGGTTTACTTCACTGTGAAGTATATTGAATATATATATGTTCTTTCATAAACTATCTACAAACTTTCTGATAACAGCAGATCATGGAAGGCTTGAAATAGTCTGTTAATTAGACAATGGCATATGGATGTTTACAAATGTGTGCTATTTATTTGTTTTTTCAATCTCTTTCTTTTCCAAATCACTCATTTTAGCAGTGTTCACCCAAAAATAAAAAATATATAAATTATTGAATTGCTATTGTCACAGTTTTTGTTGACAAAATTAGATACATGTACAATTCAGAAGATATTTTGAAAATTGTTACTGAAAACTGAAGCTCTAATTTGAGACTCTTTAATCGGCATGTTATGTAGTATTTGATTTGATTCACAATATATTGTGTAAAGAATCAGATCACATTGATTGTATCACTACTGTTGCAATTACTAGGGAAACACTTGAATGTAATTTCAATATTTGTTAATATCCTTTTAAGCTCAGTTTCTTTGCCATCTGGCCTTATTTGCCATTCAGAGCTGATGATAGTCAGCAGTCAAGTTTAGTTGGTGCGTACAACTAAGTCTAAAATGTAATCTCCGCTCAGAAACACTTTATCCAGTCCCTGCCTGTTTATACAGCTAGGGATGTATCCGTGCAGAGTGTAAATATGGCTTCTTCCACCAATAGCTGTCACTCCTTTGTTTTGAAGGGAGGAGGGATTGAAGCATTGGGAAGTCAATTGGCTACCTCGGTGAGACAAAGTCTGAAGACTGCTGTGATTCCTCTCTCTTTGGGCTGTGCAATGTTATCATATGTCTAACATATTTGACTCATGACAACATATTACCTCTTCCACCTACACCCACCCTATCCCAAATTGTTTAATCACCCCTGCAAAATAATGAAACAGCCCAAGCAAGCATTTGACAGATGATGTCACATACGTTTAAAGTGTACTAAACATTTGTCATTTTTCAATCTTTTCATAATCAGGCTTACATTTCACAGAAACATTTTGTGTTTTTTACCCAAAGTCAAAATGTTTGCTGGGCAGGCTGACTCTGACATTGTACGTTTCACTGGCAGCATGGATTTACCCTGAAGTCTGAATGGCGAGGTGCATGTTGAGACTCTAAAGCTCCCAGAAAACTCTACCTCTCCCAAACTCCCAGAACCCAATGCACGAACACCGCTCCTCACAAATATGTATCTTGGGGGCAAAATCTGTAAGAGCAGAAATAAACCTGCATTAAGTTATTTTTCACCCTAATAGCAACACTGACCTAACATTGGATTATTCTGTTGTCACGGCTAACCTATTAGCGAAATATTTCACTGCTTACACAATCAGTGGATACAGGGCAATATTAGCATCCCATTGGAAGGCAGGTATCCATCCACCCAAAAGTTATTTTAATATTAATTTGCTTTTTACTGTAGCTCCAGGGCCGGCCCTGACCAATTTGCTGCCCTAGGCAAGATTTTAGCAGGCGCCCCCCCCCCCCCAAAAATGCAGACACTCACTATGACTACCGCATGCACGTGCACGGTTGTGGCATGACCACCAAAACAGAAATATATGGACACAAGATGTGTGCAAATGTATTTAGTTTCCAATCCATTTGAACATGATTTAAGTGGGGCTGGACCTAACCTCCTCTAGGGGGGTCCGGGGGCATGATGCCCTGGGAAGATTTTTTATATTGAAGTTAAAAGCATCAATCTGATGCACTTTGAGAGCAACATTAAGAGATCTATGGATACATCTCTCAACACCCATATGAACAGAACTGTAAGCAGATTTTATTTTTATTTATGGATATTTTACAAATCACTCCCCTTTTAAACTGTATTCTTGTTTATTAATAACAACTTTTTTTTCATACTATTCTTATTTTTTTATAACTATAATGATCATATAAAGGTGTGCCTTTACCTCACTGAGCTGAGGTTATCAGAGCCTCTCAGTCTTTCAGGAGAGAGCTCTCTAAAGCTCTCCCCCCTGCGGCCGCTTACACAGTAAATTCCAATGTTAATAAAAGCTTTATACGTTTTTTGGGAGTTTGATTTATTTTAAATTAACACAAATACAAAACTAAAACCTATAATTGCACACTAAAACCATTATTTCCAAAAAAGAACTATTTCACATAAACCTCTGGTTTTTACTGGGGCTGGGGCGGTTCAACTTGATTTGGGGGGGGGTGCGCCATAGTTTATGGGCGCTGTACGCAATATAGGCGTGGTTCTGTTAGTATAAGATAATAAGATGTACTTTGTTGATCCAAAATCGGGAAATTGTGTTGTTATGAAATAAAAAATTTTTTTTTTTTTAATTTCTAACTTATTTTTTTCGGCGCCCCCCCCATAGATTGATGCGCCCTTAGCATTCGCCTATGCTGCCTATGCCAAGGGCCGGCCCTGTGTAGCTCCACCAATTCCTGACACAAATAACTGTGTCTTAAGCTGCTGAATTCTACAGTACCATTTGACCAATCACATGGAAAATGTATATTTGTCCTTAATGTTGAACAGGTTGACTATCAGTTTGTTTGGTGGAAACAGCAGCCATGGTTTTACACGGCAAGCTTCATGAGAGCGAAAAGGCCAGAGAATCAAAACATAAAGCTAAAAAATTGTCATTGATTTAATCATATAAATATAACTTAATGCAGTTTTAATGACACCTTTATTTGAATCTCAATGGGTAAATGCAATTCCTTGCCAGGAACTACTGTATTGATAGTCTTTGTCTAAAATTGTCTTCCTCTTTTCTGACTTCCTCTGTCTTATCTAAACCTGGAGCAGCTTTGTTTTGCTTTTGAGGGTTGAATGATAATCTGCAGCTTTGCCTCAAAGAAATATTTGTATGACTAAAACAATCTGCCCTCCCCTCCTTATGTCCTGTGTGATATTAGAGATCCACCATGGTCCGAAGCCAGCTGTACTCCTCTCTCCTTCTTCACAGTGCTCATATTAAGTTGGTCACAAAGTGTTTTTACTGGATCACTGTTTGTGTTTGTCTGTGGTGTTTTCAGGCATGGAGAAGACATGATAGTGACTCCATTTGCACAGGTTAGTAGCATTGTACATTAGTGCTTTTGTAAAAATCTGAAAATCTGAAATGCACTCGCCACTTTAATTAAAACAGAATATATAATCTCAACCCAATGGCTTTTTCGAAGATTTATAAAAATGCACGCACAATCATTTTTGGCAGTTTCATATCACGTCATGTTAATTGCTGTAGTGGTGGGTTTACTTGTATTTGATTTGAGTATAAATAATAACTTTTAAAATGTACTTAGTTTACATTCAAACTAATAATGTCTAATTGTAGGTGTGGGTCTGTCCAGACAATCCACATTGCCCTTACTCATCGGTTTAAGGAATAATAGATGGTTCATTTCTTCTCAGAAAACACCCACACACTCTTTGTTCTGAACACTCTCCAACGTTGGCTCATTAACACAATCTTTGTACAATGTTATGATTCCAGACTAATATGTAAAACGTACTTTTGGCCCACCTGTAGTTGGATATTGGTATTGTACCAAGTGCCATTGTTTTCCATTATAATTGAGAGAAGGCGGCCATTTCTAAGGTTGATGTATCCATCTTTTTCATCTCAATTCAAACAATCTACATTGATGATAGATATGTAAGAGTCACATATGTATTTTTTGGATGAACGTTCCCTTTTAAGGCCATCACACTTTACTGTTTGTTCTGTACTCCTGATATTAAGGGGCACATGCCTCGGGTATTTCCAAACAGGACTTTTAATACATCTCCAATACTCATTCCTCTCTTTTTTTAAACTCTTTTTAGGTTCTTGCCAGTCTCCGAACAGTGAGAACTAACTTTGCTGTTCTGACACATCTGCAAGATCGTGTCACAAACAAGTAAGAACAAGAAAGACAGACTGAAGGAGTAACTACTCAAAATGGTATTGTTCTGCTAACCCCTTGTACTTGTTTCAGGCGTTCGACAAGCAGCCAGCAGCCGTCCATGTGCAAGCCATGTCTGACAGGTCAGTGTTATCATCCCTGTTTAGTGGGCCACTGAGATTTATCACATAATTAGGCTTAGGCACAATTAGCATAATTCATTTAATCTTTCACATCCCTTGTAAAAACACACTTTTATAAACGTTTTTTTTATAATTCTCCTGTATTACCTTCAACTCCCATTTTATATATTATATTCTGTTACAGAATACTTTCATGTTATTATCTTTTTATGAAAATACTGTAATTTCATCGTAAATGTGAAAGACATGCTGCAGAGTTTGAACCTAATGGGTTTAAATAGTTGATTTACATGTATTGAATATCAGTCCCTCAGCTGACCTGTAACGTGTGTGTGTGTGTGACCTCTGACCTTTCAGAGGAGCCCTGCCAGAAGCTGGCGGTGGAGACGATGGAGGAGCTGGACTGGTGTCTGGACCAGCTGGAGACGCTGCAGACGAGACACTCTGTCGGCGAGATGGCCTCCAATAAGGTGAGAGGACATTTGTTAGTTTTAATTCAAACTGTTTTTTAATCCAACACAATTAGGTTGTATGCCTCTTACAATATTTTCTTAAAAAATATGAAAACTTTATCATATGGAGCAAATCAAATATGCAAAAGCCCACATTCAAAAAGAGGTGGAGCACTGAGGTCCTACTCTCTTAAAGGTCCCATGACATGGCCATTTCTACTGATCATAATTCCATTGTTGAGGTCTACTAGAATAGATTAACATTGTTCAATGTTCCAAACTCACATTGGTTTCTCATACAGCATCTCTGTATAGTATGTGTATTCACCAGGTATTCACTCTCTGTCCTAAACGGTTTGTTGGAGCTCCTGCCCCCCCTCCCTATGAGCCCACTGTGCTCTGATTGGTCAGCTCGCCCACTTTGTTCTGATGAGTCCACCACCGTTACAGCGGAACATCAGTGATTATGTGTATAATGGCGTTAGCAACCAGAAAATGACACCAGTAATGAAAAACAGAGGAAAATGCTGCATGGGGTCTGGGTGCCGTGTTGGCGGGACGTTGCGCATTGAGGCTCGAGGAGCGGACAATGTGAGCTGGATTACTGGTGTCGTTTCCTGGTTGCTGCGTGGGGTCTGCGAGTGAGCGAGACACCGCAAAACTCAGTCTGAGCACACACACACTCTCACAGCCAGGCTGTGAGTGTGGGTGTGTGCGGATTTCCGCGGAGCCGCGGCTGAGAAAAGATAAGGGTGAGTGTGTGTGTGTGTGAGGAGCAATGGACCAATCCGCAGAGCCGTTACGCCACTATACTCAGGAAGAAAAAAATGGAAAAAGAAAAATGTCCAACGAGGCGTTCTGGGGCAGCATAGACAGGTATTTTCTGTGTTAGAGTTTTACTCGCTACAGGGTGTACTTTGAGGGTTTGTGACTTTGCAGACCGTTTACATGCATAAAAAGCTACATAACACACAAGGGGACGGGATAACTAGAAAAGCATGTCATGGGACCTTTAAACTATTCACATCATCATCAGACAACTACATCCATACACTTTATATACATAAACAAATTATATATGGCTGATAAATGCCAAATAAGCTGGAAACCATTGAGATAAATCTTGTCAATCACACGTCGATGACATACATTTATGTATGTATATTTTTTTATGAATTGTTTTATACTTTAGTTTATAAACTAAAGTATAAAACAATTCATAAAAAATCATTGTCTAAGAAATCTACAGAAGATGTTAATGACATAAAACACAATAAGCGATAAAAAAACATGATAAAAGAGATGGAGAGGCTGAATTTAAAGTGGACCTATCATGCTATATTTTAATAATATATTGTAGGGCCATACCTATATAAAACATGTCTGTGAAGTTTTTTTTTCAAAATGCCAAACAGATCATGCATTTTAGCCATGCCTCATTTCACTCTATTTGCTCTTTTTTAGCCCTGTTTTTGCAAGGGCTGATTCTGTGACGTAGCTTTAATGCAAATGAGCTGCAGCTGACCACACCCCCCTGCAGGACAGGGGAGCATGCTCTGATCAGCTGCTGGGCTCTCAGAAGAGGGGGAGGAAAACAGAGGCTCCGTCTTCCGTGTATTATTCTCATATGATCATATAGAGTCATTATTCATTTGTTTTAAAGCTCAATAAATAACAAAGAAGACCTTTGACAGGCACTTTTCCAATTTTGTCCGGAAGATTTAAACTTTAACGGACATGTTGACCGGCGGAGAGGTGGGTGTTTGTCATCTGCTTGTGGCAAACCGGAGAGAATTACAGCAGCAGGAGCAAACGCTTGCCTCGGGGAGGGAGAAAGAGAGCCAGTGTCCACAGCGGAGAATAAACAGAAGGGCAACCATGGCAACCATGCGCGGGAAGTCTTCTTCGCTGCTTTTGTGGCAGACTACAGCGCCCCTGACACACCGGGGACACATATTCATGTATAAAAGACGTACAAAAGTGCATTTTGTCCCCTTTAAAAGGAATGGTATGCTCATGACACTCATTTTTAAATAATTATCATCCGATAAAACAGACCAGTCTCTACCAGTCTTTTTTTTATTTTTTTTTATCCGATGACATTATCAGTGATTTTAAACTGATTAATTACCGAAATAACATCAACACTGTGGGCGGCGCCATTTTACCGGACGTGACGTAAACCATGCGTTTGGTTTCGAGGACACGTTGATGTTCATGTTATTTACTGTAGTTACTCTCTTCAAATATGCCTCATTGTATCGCGAAACATTGCCACAATTCTGATAGGAACAATCCACGGAATGCTCGGTTCCATCTGTTGCCAAAAGGTAAGCGTAGGAAGTACGTTCGGAGGCAGTGGCTAGCGAAATGTGGCCGGCCCGAACCGAAAGATCCACAGGCGCATGTATGCAGCGAACATTTCAAGTTTCCGGACGACTACTCTGAGAGTATGATAAAACATAACATGGGATTTATTGAACAACCATTACTTAATGGAGATGCAGTACCATCGGTCTTTTTGGTGTCATCACCGACCAGGACACCAGTTCGGCCAGTTGAGAAATCGCCCTCTGCAAGTGTGAAGCGACGGAGGACCAGAAGTAGTGCTCGAGTAAGAATAAGGTATGTTATAGCGCATTTCCATTGCAGCGGGTAGCCCCGTTTAAACGTCCTTTATCGTCCAGGCCAGGCCAGTTTTTGGTGGTCTTTCCATATAGCGTAGTACCGGCTAGTGGGTATTTTCCCCCAGTTTTTCTGGCCCCATAAAATCGTGGTTCTAGGGCCAGGGACAACGAGGCTGAGTATGCTAAACTAGAGAGGGAATCGCTAGCAAGGGTGGTACTACATGCATACATATCTAGTAATCAAAATCATTGTATCTACTAAGTAGTACTAAGTAGGCTCGAACCTGTATGGCTGAATTCCCCCCTTCCAATCTCTTCATATTGCTCAAAACTTCGCCATGTTTTCGTGTGTTTACAAAGTGAACGCATGGATGACGTCACGACCATCACGTGACTACTGAAAATGGGCAAAATGGCAGCAGCCTGACGGAATATACAGGTTTTGATAAAAAAAGAGCTATACAATCATTATTTACCGGGTAATATCGCTGATTTCTTCAGAGTATGGTTTAAACATAATGTTTCACTAAATACTGAAGTTTTGATTAATTATCTAATGAGTGGAGCATTCCTTTAAGATACAATATACCTTACCTCAAGTAAATAGAAAAACGTCCACGGCAGACACAACAATCTTTAATATTTCAACAGGATATTTTGCTGGTAATATATGTTGTCTCTTCTATTTTTAGTGTTTGCTTTTGTCATGACAACAATGACTTGTTTTTATTTTAGCTTTCCAATAAGAATCACAAGCAGGTCACATGCTTCCAGATCTGGGTCTGTTGCTCCTGTCCATGTGTGCAGAACAGAATTGACAAAGTGCAAGTAGCTTCTTCCTGTTTATTGTTGTAAGACAATTTAGGTAGCATATGAGGGGAGAAAACGGGATGTGATTACACATGCAGCCTCAGTGTGAACATGGCCAGAACACTCTCCCTCTATGAAAGAGTAAATCCTCATCTCCCAGCTTCCCTCCCTCATGCTCCTCTCCACCATCTGGCTGCTACATTCAGTCCTCCTCCATCTCCCAGGAGGCCAATCAGATCACTCTCCTCCACCCAGCCCCTGATGCCGGACCCATCTGATTGGGCAGCGTGCGGGGCGGAGGAGGGGGGGCTCCTCACAGCCTCTCACTCTCCCTCTCTATGTTTCTCATTGACAGTGTGTGACAGTAGTTGGATGAGCAACTGCAGTCCACACCCTTTCTCCCCCAATGATAGACCACATCCCCAACCTCCCCCACCTCACCCCGCCCCACCCATCCCCTCCGACCCCCCCTTTACCTTCAGGACAGCACATGGGACTGTGGGAACTTTTTTTTCCAGACGGACTTCTTTTTCATTTTTAAGCCATCCCTGCTGAGCGTGGAGCAGTCTGAGTGAGCAGCCCGTCACTTTTTTTTGCTTCTCGTTTCGGATTTTTAGTAGCCTCTAACATCAGCATGCGTGGGTTAACATGCCGGCATCGGCTCTCTGCGGTTGTCTGTGCTGGAGACTCAGACAGGTGAGCAACGGGGAGCGCCGCTGGCTGCCTTATTTACATTGGGATCTATTGATCAGCAGTGCAGGCTTTGCAGGGGGTGGGGGGCTCAATGCTGAGTGAGGGAGCCCGTTGGATCTGACTCAGGACTGGATCTACAAACAGTGTGTGTGTGTGTGTGTGTGTGTGTGTGTGTGTGTGGTGTGTGTGTGTGTGTGTGTGGTGTGGTGTGTGTGTGTGTGTGTGTGTGTGGTGTGTGTGTGTGTGTGTGTGTGTGTGGTGTGTGTGTGTGTGTGTGTGTGGTGTGTGTGTGTGTGTGTGTGTGTGTGTGTGTGTGTGTGTGTGTGTTGTGTGTGGTGTGTGTGTGTGTGTGTGTGTTTCTTTTAAAGTGAGCTATGATATCTGATTTGTGAAAAGTTCATGCGACATAATGACCCGCTTCATAGAAAGGAACAACAAACAACACAGGTATATTAGTATATATACATAATATATAGTGTGTTGAAATCAAATATGTCTAAAGTTACAAAAACTGTAAAAAAAACGTATGTAAAAATATTCAGTTTACTGCCATGTTGGTGTAAACATCCAACACATGCAGCTTATCTATGCTTTCTAACTTTTTTATCTGCAGTCCTACCCGGACTAACCACTTTTCTTGTTGTTTTTTTCTTTTAAAAACAGTTTAAGAGGATGCTGAACCGCGAGTTGACGCAGCTGTCAGAGACGAGCCGCTCAGGGAACCAGGTGTCAGAGTTCATCTCCAACACCTTCCTTGGTGAGTTTGCATGCTAGACGTTAATGAATGAAAGCACACTTTGTGGCAGCAGGAAAAAACCGAAGGGTTTCGCTGTTGAATCATGTTGCCTTATACTGAAAATGGGGTGCATGACAACTTATTCTAAAATATATGAAATGCATTTGTCCTATCCCCAACATGTCAGTGTCTTTGGTGCGTTCCAGCTTATCTAACAAGAAACACATTTGCATAATTGCATAAACTCGCTTTGTTGAATGTTCCGTCAGCATTACACAAAACTGCATCTAAACATAATGTAAGCATGGCATGCTTTATAAGAGGTACTGTGAGAAAAGAAGATTGGATGAGAGAGATTCCTTGTTTATATGGAGAAAAGATAAGAACAATTAAAAAATTGGGAAACATTTTAGAGCAGAAAAAAGGGCTTTAAAAATTCAAACAGAAAGAGATAATGATTTTTCCTTAAAACGATGAGATGGAGGAAACTAAAAAAGCTAATAAAAGAGATAGGTAAATATTAAAGAAATGAAGAGATATTAAATATATAAAAAACAAGGTTTATTAAAATAAGGAAGAGGTTGCTTTCGAGGGGAAAAATAGTGAGTAGAGAAGGAAAGAGGAATTGTATAACCTCTGATAAATAACAATGTAATTAATAATGTGACAAAGATAAAAAAAAAAAAAAGCTGGAAATATGAACAGTGCATTGTTTTTAAATAGAGGAAGGAGGAGAGGGATTGAAAGGTGAGGATTTTTTCTTCCCTAAAAGAGAAGGAGGCGCGACGACAGACAGCATTCCCGGACACATTGTGTGGCGTTGTCGTAGCAACAGGGTGCAATATTATTAGACGGCGTGTTGCATCAATAGGAGGCTCAGTCTTCAGCAGCCGCGCCGGCAGGATGGAGGTCCAGCTGGAGGAGGACGGAGCTGCCAGTCGGCTGCCGTTCTGACATGAGTGCCTCAGCATCAAGCCCTACCGCGTTTGGAAATGAACACCATGGCTTTGGGTGTGAGGAAGAGGAGGCACTGTGAGAGAGGTGAGAGAGGCCAGACAGCGCCTCGTGTGACGCTGCCACTCAGGTCGCTCTGCATCCTTAAGGTGGCGTGTGCTTATAACTGCGTTCATATCTGGATACCGTTCAAACAATCATTCCTGCCGTGCTAATAAAAAGATGCGAGATACTCAGGATGACGTGTGGACGTGAGGTAAAGGCTGTCTGGGATGTCAAAATGGGATCATTATTACCTCGGTTTGTACAAATACGGATGAGTCATTTTCACTATCGTGTCTGCTGGGACAGCACCTCTGTGACAACAAGTCATATGGTGATTATGTTGATTCTGTTCGTGTTTTTGCTGAAAGGATTACAAGGTTCACTGTTGTTTTGAGAAAAAAAAATCTCCAGACATGATGAAGCCTTTTTAAACCCATGTTTGGAAAAACACGAGAAGTGCTTCGTGCTACTGAGAAGCTGACAGCTTTTACTCATCATAGCTTTCTACTACAGGTGTTCTGCACCTTCTGCCATGTAGTCCGTTCATATTTATTAATCTACACCTTGCTGTGCTCGGACAAAACAGCTTTATACTGCAGGTGTGCTTCATTATACCTCCTGTATAATTCCTGTTTGTTGGTAATGTTTCATCCGTGGTCTATATACAGTTTAAATTGCGTACGTGAGCATTGCTTACATTTAATTGTAATTTCTTTTTTCTTTTTACATTGCAATTTACATTTTACGGACATTTTACACTGAGTCAAAACAAATTGGTTACATAATATCATTACATTAGCTGTGGATCTAACTACATGAAATTGTATTGTGCTAGGTGTTGTTGTTGTTGTTGTTGTTGTTGTTGTTGTACAGTGTTAGCAGGTTTAGTGACAGCAGTAGCAACAGCAGCGGCATAGTTATAACTATTAGTTTGAAGAGGTACAAGTTGCTTAAAACTACTCTAAACTGTTTGGATAGTTATTGTAATTCAGGCTGATGTTAGCAGCAGCAGCAGTATTATTAAATGATCAGTCGTAGCAGGTGCATTTCTATAATAAATATTAGCTGGTGCAGTCACTAGTTATACATTACATTATATTACATTGCATTTAGCTGACGCTTTTATCCAAAGCGACTTACAATAAGTACATTCGACCAGGAAGACACAACCTTGAAGAAAACAGAATCATATAAGTACATCAGGTTTCATAGAGCCAAACATTTCAAGTGCTACTCAACTGGCTATAGATAAGCCAGTCCTTTATTAGTATAAAAGTGCTTCGTTAATAGTTCTAACGCTCGAAGTGGAGTCGAAAGAGATGAGTTTTCAGTTTGCGCCGGAAGATGTGCAAGCTATCTGCCGTCCTGATGTCAATGGGGAGCTCATTCCACCATCCTGGAGCCAGGACAGCAAACCCACGTGTTTTCGCCGATGGGAACTTGGGTCCCCCTCGCAGCGAGGGCGCAACGAGTCGTTTAGCTGATGCAGAGCGTAGTACAAGTCTCAATATGAGCTCTAGCAGTTCTAGTACCAGCAGTAGAAACTAGCATGATTAAAGAAATGCTCATTGAATAATTGTTGTTTTTATTATCAGTAGTTTTGATCATATTACAAATATCGGTTATCGGTGCGTTGATGTTGGTAGCGGAATAATAGTATAAACAAAGGTTGCAGCAATAGTTAGCAGATGCACTAATAATACCGTTAGTAATTGTACTGGTGATAGAAGAATCAAGGTGTGTTTACACAAAGAAGTCTGAGAGAACTCAAAACTTGCAAACAATAATCCTTATCAGCCAATGGGAATGGATACAAGCATGAATTAGTAAACCAAAAACATGAATCAAGTAATTATTACTTTCAGAACTTACCATGTACAGTAGTTGTATGGCTTGGCTCACTTATCATCAAGCCCTTTCCTCTGTTGTTCAGTCTCTATACAGTACTGACGATGAGTCGTAGAGCTGCAGGTGCCTACAGACGACAATAACATTGTCCTCTTAATGATTGACAGCCTAGGAGCATATAAGCAAGAGTGCGATCATATTTCCTCAATATGTGTGCATGAATACTCTTCTCACACACAACGTTATATTTTGTTCAATTTA